GTACTAGAATTTTACATTGCAATTACTAACACGCCCCCTTAAGATAATTTATTTTCATTTAACACTCAGATTGTCCTTGAATCAAGACTGGTACTAATAAGAACTTGGGGCAAATATCTGGTTATTTTGCAGCCATAAACCTGTTGTCAAAAAGAAAAAAAAAGGGACTTTAGTTGGAATTATCTAAACTCTATAATTGCAGTAAATAAAATTCACCAGATAACAATCCAGTCCCTTCACTTGAGTGTGTTTCTAAAGACAGTCTTTGGCCTTCGGTTCATTAAACTACCTTTCTTCTATTAAGATGTTTAATATTTTTAGCAGAATAAATGCCTGCATTAAATGAAATTTTCTGGGCTATAAATAGCCTCCCCAAAGCATTTCAGTATACTTGTGGAACCATTTTATTTCATACTTGCAAAAGTGATTTTTTAATCCTTTGGATTTATTTCATTTTATTTACTTAAAAGCTGTTGATAAAAAGATTAAGATGAGCACAGAACTCAGAAGTCCTTGGAAACAATTGTCAGTTTTATAGCTCCTTAAAGAAGCATTAAAAACTTTACACTTAAAAAAAAAAAAACACAAAAAACACTTTACACTTAAACAGAAATTGAATTTGCTCTTCATATGCATAAAAGATTTAATGGCCTATAAATTGGGAATAATTGTTCTTTTTAAAAGGATTAAATTAAACCTAAATCAATAATAACATGTGCAGTTTCAATTTAACTGCCTACTTAAAGTGGCAAATAAATAACTGCTAAATGATTAATAGCAATGCTTTTATTCACCTCCTCGACAGGCAAAATGGCCAGTTATTGAATATTTTACTGTGAGTGCAAAGGATGTTCATTGTACTAGAAACATGCCCTAATCTTAGTAATTTTTTGATTGAATACTAAACTGAATATGAGGCTCTTCGTCAAATGGAGATTTGATTTGATTTGGGCTGAAGTTGTCACAGTCATGCTCAAATATGGTCCATTAGAGCCAGCAGATAGGATGGCATATGCATATGAGACCACCCTCCCCTTCCTCTCTGCATCCATTTCTAATCTGGGCATCTGAAGGGCAGACCTGGCATCTGTTGTCTGAACAGCAACAAAAGCATTGTGTACTCATTGTCTGTGTAACCTTCCTATCAAATGGGGAGGAAATGAGGTGTGTGTTTTGTGTGCACAAGATTACTGATGAAGGAGCACTTCACACTTTGTTCCAGTGTGTTGACCTGGACCACACAACACAATTGAGTTTCTCCGCACACAAGCTCAGAACAATGGGGTTCTTTAGTATCATGTTCTATTTCAACCATTAGATTCGTTTCTGTGAAGTTTTACAGCTTTCCATGCTCGATAGTTTGCAAAACATAAGCTGCCATTTGTCTCAACACATGGTTTCCATCAAAAAGGGAAGAAAGGGGGATGTTTTAAGATAATCATTGCAGGTGTACACTGTACAGTGTCATTAAAGCTCTTAGAAGAGCCACATTTTCCGATTCTCATCTTGTAAATACACATTATTAGAGTGTCTCTTCAAACGATTGGTTCAAAAACGTCTTTTGCAGCCAGAGCAACTCATTATGTCTGGTTTGTTTCAAACCCTTCTGTATTTTCTAGGTTTCACTTAAAATATCAGTCTTTTCCAGGGCATGTGAGATTGCTTCCGTGGGCAGCTAAGAATGGCAATTTGTTGAGGCTAGAAATTACAGCTTTTTCTGAAGGTCTAAAGTAATTGAATTCTCCCAGTTTTATCTTCCTCATCATCTTTCAGCAGTTCTTAAAATATCTCATCATGTGGAAACACTGACATTTCTTAATCCCATTTCCTAAATTACAGTTCAAACAGATTCTCCATGCTGCCTAGGTCGTGGTAAAAAAAAAAAAAAAAAAAGGATTTTTAAAGATAAGTGTTCATTCTTTCAGTCCACTAAGGTCCCACTTAGTGCATCACGAGACAACTTTGTGTCCTGGAAATAACTTAAGCCCTAGGGAGAGAAGAATCCCTTGAGATCCATCAGGAGGAAGCATAGTACACACCAGTGTTGTGTCATGGTGACAGAACACAACACACAGCAAGCAAAGACCAGTGATGGAGCTCGTTGGCATGTGCTTTTATAACCAGCCCTTCCTGGGACCTTCCTTACTCCATGCCAAGAACATAGTTCTAAGCATATATACGTATAAAAATGTGCTTAATACTCTCAACGACTATGAGGTAGGCACTATTATATTTTTTTAGTTAGGTACTATTATTATCCTCATTTTATTGATGAGGAGCTGAAGCACAGAGGAGTACAATAACTTGCCCACACTCCCACAGTAACTGGTGGCACCAGGAATTGAGCGCAGGCAGTCTGATTGTAGGACCCTCGTCCTTTGACTTTCTACGGTACCATTTCTCAGAACCAAAATATTCCATATCATTTATTCCATGAGACTGAGGGGTGTCTATAGCCCTGACTGTGGACATCATGCCATCATCAACTAATGCTAGTTAAGTCTGGTGACCAGTCTGAGTGCCAGTTTTCTTAGTATAACTGCAGAGGTGGAAGTCAGAGACTCCATTTCCTTCAATCATCAAAGACTACCTATTTGTTAAAAAGAGTGGGCATTCCTCGCTTATTGACTCTTGTGAGTTCATCATAGGATCACAGAACAAGAGAGTTGGAATGGACTTTGAGAAATCATCTAGCAATTGGATCTGGAAATAAGAGGTCAACGTATTTTCATTGATAAACAAGGTCTGTCCTCCTAGTTTAAACGCCCATAACATTCTGTACTTCTGTACTGTTGGTGCATAAGATCCGTCTGCCTGTCTTCCTCACTCAGCAGCCAGTTCCATCCGCCTGTTTCTGTTTCACTCACCACTCACCTCCAGTGCCTAGTACTTGGGGAGCCACTCAGTACATATTTGTTGACTGGCCAACTGACTGACCGACCGATTCACTAACTCCCCTAAGGCAGGCCCTGCAACAACACCTGCTTCACCACCACCTCTGGGATTGGCTGTGTGATACAGGGCGAGTCACTGGACAGGAGCCAGATCCCAGGGCCAACTGCCAGGGTCTGTGTCCTGGCTCCACCACGTATTAGCTCTGTGACCTTGGAAAAGTGACAGAAGCCTGTTTCTTCATCTATTAAATGGGCATAATAATAGCACCTCCCCATAGGGTTGCCATAAGGAGAAAACTAGAGATTCAGTGTAAGCTTTCCCTAGATCAGCACGTAGTAAGTAGTGTGTGCTATGTGCTATCTTCCCAAAGCCAGCACTCTATAACCCACCCAGAAAAGCAGCAAGACAGTGGGCTCCAATAACGTGTGTTACTTTTAAAGGTTGCCAACCCCTGCTCTAAATAGTGCAGAGGACAGGGCTACCTGTTCTAAAACTTTGCCCCCAAAAACCATATGGCCTCTGTACATAATCCTTTCCAAAAACTTATCACTTTGCCTATCCAAAAGTATTTGTCTTACTATAACATCTTTGCTCTCTAATTAAATGATTTTTACTTAATTAAATAAATCCAAACTCTCAAGTTAATGTAGTTAAGCCAAACCCTTCACAGAGTTTACAAAGCCCTTCAAGATTTCACCTCTGCTTAACCCTGAGTTCTAATCCTCCCGCCTTCCCTTTTATCCACATAGAATTTGTTCTTTGAAAGCCCCACGTTCTCTCTCCCCTCCATTCCTTTTTACGTGTTGCTTCCTCAGCCTGGCTTACACTTCCTGCCCTTCTTAGCCTTCGGTCTCAGCTAAGCCATCACTTCCTTCAGAAAGCTGCCCTTTCCCCCAAGATGGGATTGGATGTCCCTCCTGAGCCCTGATGGACACTCATCACTCTAATCACAAATAGCTCATTTCCTGGTCTGTATCCCCCACTAGGCTGTGGGCTCACCACTGTATCCCCCTAACTTAGTATGTGCTCAATAAATATAGAATCAGTGAACGAGCAAATGCATGAGGAAAGTTAAATTCTGTCGAATCAAGTGAATGAATGAACGAGGAGAGTTAGACTCACTTTTTCCTTTCAATATATCATAGATACGGGAAATGGCATGTGTCTTCATTTCAAAAAATCTTTATATCTTTATTTACTTGAAGATGTACTTTCATCTTTTCTTCCCCATCTA